GCTTTCTTTCTCCGCGTTTTAATCTTTCGTCTATATCGCAGCGCGGTTGTCGGCTACCCACTTTATATTTCACTACCTTCTCTCTCTTTGATCGGAATACTTGTCTTCTTTTCCTTCTTCCGAAACAGCATTGAATTGGAGCTGGTGCTTGTGATATCGAAGGGCGCGGAAGCGGGTCGGCATAATGGACAAGAGTCCTGAGACTAGCGCTCTGCCCGCCCCAATTCATTAGGTAATGGATATTGGAGTTTTCTTTTCGATTCTTATTCTTCGGTACGACTTTACTTTTATTTCTTTTTAATTTATATTTGCTATACTTGAAGTTGTAGTAGCGAGGGGAAAATCCAGTGTCTTTAATTTTTTTTTTTTTTTTGATAAGCGTCTTTAATGTTTAATTTGTTTGTATTTTACTATGAATGTGATAGATGTGCGAGGCTTAAATTTAATGCTTCCTAGAGTGACTGTATATACTTTTTGAAGCCATCTTAGAGCTTTTCTTTAAAAAAGTTTTTAGTGTGGACTTACAGGCTAAGGAAATGTGGTTAATTATAATCCTCCCACTCAAAACAATAATTAGAATGGCATTGACTTGAAAATAATCAGAATGACATTGATTTTCAATAAGAAGGATTTTCAAAAATATATGAGAATATATTGGAGATGATTGAATAAATGTTCTGTGAGTGTAAGGATAGACCCGAGGTTCTTAATTTCGAATGTACTGCTACGTTTCGTTAATAACCGAAGTGAAGGTTAAATCCAGCACTTCTCGGTCAAACAGTTGCATAATAGCTACAATGAACATGTCCGCACTTGATTTCGTGGTCTCGAGATCATCGCCTGAAGGGACATGTCACACTCCAATTATCTCGTTAAGCAAGCCACGAGGACACCTCATTAAGGCCTATAAATACTCTCTAGGGATCACCTCAAAAAAGTAATTAAAATCGACCTAAAACTCCTTTTTTCATTATTCTAAAAGTATATTCGATTATTGCTGACTTAAGTATCGGAGTGTCTACCTTGAGGATCTACCTCAGGGCTTTGCAGGTTTATCTGAAGTGAAGACACTGACTGAAGAAAGATTTCTAGTTTGGTGCAATTACATTCGGCGCCGTCTATAGGAACCCGAACTAAAAGCTCTCTTGTTGCTTTTTTATCATGCTTAACCCTCAGTCTGTTCGAGTTGGAAGCCAAGCTCAACCTCTTGCCCAAGGCCAAGCTTAGTACCTAAATCAACTTCCACCTCATATCTCGAATCTATTCCCTCCTGTTGAACATGCAGAAAGAGGTGATGAGAACCAACCTCATAATTCAGCTCACAATTCAACTCCCACTCCGAACCAAGGTGATGCAGTCTCAGCTCAGCTCGCCGCAATGCAACAGCAGTTTGGTATTTTCCAGTTGGTTTTGGCTCAACTTTTAGCTCAAAATAATCTTGGTGATCCTCTCATTAATTTACTTAACCCTACTCAACAACCTCCAGTTCAACAACAAGAGCCCCAACCAGTTCAACAGCAAGAGCCCCAACCAGTTCACTCCAATGATCGTCAACATGCTCCTGCCCTCAGTGAGTCGCAGGGTCAGTCAACATGTTCCTGCCCTCAGTGAGTCGCAAGGTCAGTCTCATGTGGCCCCAGCTCAACAACCTCTACTTGATGATGTCACATGACGCTTGGACAATTTAGAAAAAATGGTAGTCGAGCAGCGAGGTGCTCCACTTCCCCACCATAACACTACTTCAATACCTCATCCTCTAAACACCAACATAACTTTGGAACCTTATCCTACTGGTTTCAAAATACCTTAGCTCGAAACATATGATGGAACAAAGGACCCAGATGACCATCTACATGCTTTCTACTCCTGTATGCAAGCTCAAAACACCTTTGATGCATTGATGTGCAAGATCTTTCCTTCTACTCTCCGAGGCAATGCTCGAACTTGGTATTACAGTCTACCTCCGAGATCTATCAGTTCTTATACAGAGATGACATCTACTTTTGCTACAAAGTTTTCCAGTGGGAGGTTGATTAGGAAAACCATTTTTGAGCTGATGCGAGTCATACAAAGATATGGAGAATCTCTGAAGAATTACATGAGCATATTCAATGATGCAGTTTTGGAGGTTAGCTCATTCGATCAAGCTGTGGGAATTGCAGCTGTAATTTAAGGTCTTAGCCATGAAAGATTCAGAGATAGCCTAATTAAGCATCCCGTTGCTACTTTTAACAAGGTTAATGATAGATCTTTGAAATTCATAACTGCTGAGGAATATGCCTTGTCACAAAAGCCAGTTCTTGCTAATAAACAAAACTTGGCTTGGAGAAATGAAGGCCAAAGCTGAAAGTGGATGAAGACAATACAGAATCGAGGTCCAATGTCGACCTCCACATCGAGATTCAGAAGACCGAACTCAGTACCTCTCCAACAAACTACCAATAAAGCACTAGTTACATGGACTCCTTTTAATCTGTCGAGATTGCAAATATTCATGCAGATCAAGAATAAGATGGATTTAAGGCGACCAGGGCTGATGAAAAGTTCTATTGCTATGCGTGACCAGATTAGATATTATGATTTTCATCAAGATCGTGGCCATACAACGGAGGAATGTAATAGTCTAAGGTCCAAATTGGAAAGTCTAGCTCAGAAGGGAATGCTGAATGAATACATCCAAAGAACAGAGCAGTCGAGGTTTGTCAGAGAACAGGGACCATAGCCACAAGGATCTCGTAATGCTGGAAATAGGCAATGAGTGAGATATCAACAAGCCCTACCTCCACTTCTGCCACCAGCCAAAATTATTCATATGATTATAGGCATATTGGAAGCAAGGGGTTTGAGCTCCAAGTAGAGGAAGTTATATGTTAGGGAGGTGAAACATCAAAACAAAGCTCAGAAAAGAAAGTTTGATGATGCTGACTAGAAGAATCAACCCATCACTTTCACACCTGCTGACTTCGATACAGTTGTAACACCTCATAGTGATCCTTTGGTCACTTCTGTTATGATTAATAACTATGAGGTACAATGTGTCCTTATTGACACACGAAGTGCACCAGACATTATGTATTATCGTTGTTTTGAGAGCCTAGAACTAGATCCAGCTCTGTTGTAGAGGCACGATGGTCCTCTATATGGATTCAATAACCAATCTATTCAGGTAGAAAGAGTCCTTACTCTCAATGTTGCTTTTGGGAGCGGTCGAACTTATGTTACCCCCTCAGTTCGGTATCTAGTTGTCAAAATGGTCTCATTGTTTAATGTTGTTATTGGATGACCTACATTAACTAAGATTCGAGTTGTGGTCTCTCCATCTCACCTCTGTATGAAGTTCCCAACCCCTAATAGGATAACAACATTATGAGGCAACCAAGAGGTGGCTAGACATTGCTATATTACCTCAGTTACAAGGCCTCAGAAAGGAAAAGATCAGACATCAGAAACCATTTCAAAGGAAGTTCATGATAACCAACAAGTCATGGGGGTCAAGGTACTTGATAACAGACCTGAAGATGAAACCCAAGTTGCTCCAGTTAAAGATGTCCAAGAAGTACAGATTGATGACAGAGATCCAAACAGACAAACACATATCAAAACTCGGTTGAACCCAGAGGAAAAAGCAGAACTAATACCTTTCCTTCGAGCTAATAAAGATGTTTTTGCTTGGACCTCAGCAGATATGTGAGGGATTCCAACCTCGGTATCTCAGCACAAGCTCAACACCAATCCATTGAAGAACCAGTAGCCCACAAGCGGCGCCTCTTTGGGGGAGAGAGGCTTAAGGTCATAAAGGGGGAGGTGGAGAAACTCCTGTAAGCTAGTTTCATTAGAAGGGTTGATTATTGTGAGTGGGTAGCCAATCCAGTGTTGGCCAAGGAAGCAAATGCCAAGTGGCGAATGTGTATTGATTACACAAATCTCAACCAGGCTTGTCCCAAAGACTGTTATTCGATGTTGAACATTGACAAACTGGTTGAGGCAGCTTCTGGAAACAAGAGATTAAGTCTCTTAGATGCATATTCTGGTTATCACCAAGTCTCGATGGCTCTTGAGGATGAAGGGCAGACCTCGTTCTATGCCGATGATGAAATCTATTGTTATGTTATGATGCCCTTTGGCTTAAAGAATGTAGGTGCCACTTACCAAAAGATGCTGACCATCGTATTCCGAGCTCAAATAGGAAGGAATCTGGAAGTTTATGTTGATGACATCATGGTGAACAGCCTGAAAGCTAAAGATCATTTAGTTGATCTTGATGAGACATTCAACAACCTAAGAAAAAACAGAATGCGGTTGAACCCAACAAAGTGCATCTTTGGTGTGGAGTTTGGAAAATTTCTAGGCTTTATGGTATTCAGGAGGGGGATTGAGGTTAACCCAGAAAAGATCAAAGTAATAGCCGAGATGGAACCACCGAGGTCAGTAAAGGATGTACAGAGATTAACAGGGACAGTGGCAGCTCTTCACAGGTTCATATCGAAGTCAACAGATAAATACTTGCCATTCTTCAAGATCATGAGATCAACAGCTCAGAAAGATGAATCTGGCAAGCAAAAGAAGTTTGAATGGAATTTAGAATGCCAAGCTGCATTCGCTGAGTTGAAGTCTTATCTTAGCTCACCTCTTTTGTTGACAAAAGCTGTTAATGGAGAGATCTTTTATTTGTACCTTGGCATCTCAGATGAAGCAATCAGTTTTGTATTGTACGGGAAGAAGGGAAGCAGTAAAAACCAATTTATTATACCAGCAGTGTATTACATGGAGTAGAGGTAAGGTATTCCATTGTTGAAAAAGCAACATTAGTAGTTGTCACCTCGGCCAGGAAGCTGAGACCATATTTCCAATCACATCCGATTATAGTCCTCATAGACCAACCTCTTCGACAGATTTTACAGAAGCCAGAAAGCTTAAGAAGATTGATCAAATGGGTTGTGGAATTGGGGGAATTTGAGATAACGTTTCAACAGAGGTCAACAATCTGAGCTCAAGCACTAACAGATTTCATTGTGGAATGCACCTCGGATAACTCAAATTCTAATCCCAAGCCAAACAGCTAGATTCTATATGTTGATGGAGCATCAAGTAACAAAGGCTCTGAAGTTGGTGCAATCCTAGTTGGCCTAGATGGATATCAAAGTGAGCATGCTTTGAAATTCAATTTCAATGCAACTAATAACATGGCTAAATATGAAGCTCTGTTACTTGGCTTGCAACTGGCACGAGAGCTAAAAGTCACGACAATACAAATATATAGTGACTCACAACTTGTAGTTAATCAAGTTAATTCAGTCTGTGAGGTGGTTGATTCTGTCATGATGAAGTATGTAGCCCTGGTGGCCAAGCTGAGATGCAAATTTCAGAAATTTTGTTTGAGCAAAATACCCCAAGCTGAAAATGAACAAGCAGATTCACTTTCTAAGTTCGCCTTCGATAACTCCCAAAGCTCCATATCAGTTTTCGTTGAAGTTCTAGATGAGCTTAGCATTCAAAAGCCAAAGATGATGGAGATCAACATAGATCCGAACACGCTAAGCTGGACATACCCAATTGTCTCTTTTTCACGAGACAAATCAGTGCTTGGAGATAAGCAATAAGAGATGAGGTTAAGGAAGAAAGCGTCTCGATACACACTTGTTGATGGAGCCCCCTATAAGAGATCTTTCTCACTCCCTCTCCTCCGATGCTTGAACCCTTATGAAGCTAAATATGCACTTCGGGAGGTACATGAAGGCGTATGTGGAAGTCATGTTGGCGCTAGAACCCTGGCTCATAAAGTCCTCAGACAAGGATATTACTGGCCGAATATGTATAAGGATGCCACTCACTTTATATAGAGATGCTCGAAGTGCCAATTCTTTGCACACTTAACTCACCAACCAGCAGAAGAGCTCACCAATTTGGTGGCATCGTGGCCATTTGCTTAGTGGGGACTTGATCTTTTAGGCCCATTTATGAAAGGGGTTGGAGGTGTAACCCATCTGGTCATTGGTGTTGATTATTTTACAAAATAGGTTAAAGTTCAACCATTATGTAGCCTTACCTCCAAAAAGGTCAAAAACTTTGTTTTCAGCTTAATCATCTGCAGATATGGGATCCAGAATCAAATTGTGCCTGACAATGGCACTCAGTTTAACTGTTCTTCATTTAGAGATTTCTACTCTAATTATGGGATCAAATTATAGTTTACCTCGGTATACCACCCGAAGTCTAATGATATGGTGGAATCTGTCAACAAAGCTATCCTAGAGGGAATAAAACTGAGGTTGGAGTAGCACAAGGCCAGGTAGGCAGACGAGCTCAACATCTTCTAGGCATATAGAACTACGAGCCGAACTACCACAGGCAATGTTTTAAAAACCGAACCAAAGGTCAAACCATTTTGACCTTTGGTTCATGATTTTGACAGTTCAACCAGTTTAACCGGTTAAAAAATCAGGTTGATTAAATTTTGAAAATATATATTAAATGTAATATAATGCAACTCATGTCAAAGAATTACTTGTGGCGTTAGTGGTCAGAACTTTTAATTTCATTGAGGAGAATTACAGTTCGAATCTCACGAGCAGTAAAGTTCAATTTATGTAATTCTATCATAAATATATCTTAACGCATAATTTGATAACAAACTTGAATTAGATCAAGTGGCACGAATCTGGTTGAGCATCCAAAAGGGTTAGTGTTCAAACCTCATCGAAGTCATTTTCCCTTTAAAATCTTTGTAACATTCTTTAAAATATATTCTTTGCAACTTACCTCACAAGAGGCGGGGTGGCCAAGTGGCAAATGGCTTGCTAACCCTTCATGAGACCTGGTGTTCGAAACCCAGTGGAGACAAATGTAAGAGAATTTCATCCCAAGAGTTGACCCAGCTGGTTTGACAGGTTATTGGTTCTCACCAGTTTGGATGGTCTAAGTTGTTTTAAGCGATTCAATAGCTTAAACGGTTTGAAATATTCACCCGACCCATTTCTTCTACCGGGTGCCGATCCAACCAGTTCAACCGGCCAATCTTGTCTGATTTTCAAAACCTTGACCATAGGTACTATTTCCAACCTGACTTACTTTCATACTACTTTATTTTTTCTTCTATGGCTTTACCCTAGATCAAATATGCATAATATATAAAGCATGTTCTAAAAACTATAACTTAAGGAAATAGGTGGAACACCCTACCACCTGGCCTTTGGTACCGAAGCAATCATTCCTATTGAAATAGACGTCCCAAGCTTTAGGATCACCCATTTCAATGAAGGACGAAATGGACAACAGGAGAATCTTGACCTACTTGACGAAGTCAAAGAGGAAGCACGACTTCGAACTTTGGTATACAAGCAGAAATTAGCCAACTTCTACAACAAACGAGTTCACCCTCGAACATTCAAAGTTGGCAATCTAGTTCTGAGAAAAGCCAGCCTAATTGGGTTTGAAACTCGTTTTGGCAAACTAGCACTGAACTAGGAAGGCCCTTACACAGTAGCTGAAGTGCCACATCCTGCTGCCTATATCCTTCAAGACACTAAAGGGAAAAGAGTTCCTAGAGTTTGGAATGTCAACAACTTGAAGAAATTTTACCCTTAATCCACTTCTTTTAATGAACTTTGTCTTATTTCCCTTTATGACTATTACTTCCTCTTTCTGAGATTAATTTCATTCATTTGAACGTTCTCCCAAGATCAATTTGTAATTTACTTCATTCCTGGATTTCAATTCTATTATGCTCTGTTTGGGAACATGAATTTGATAGGATGTATTTGAATTTTAACCCCTTAAATTCAATATCAGTGTTTGTTTTTAACTAAATAGAATGTAATTAGATTTAAGGGAAATACATGTATTTTAACTAGTGTATTTAAAAGACTTAAAAACCATGTATTTCAAATTCATACCTAAACCCATGGATTTCAATTTCAAACCCTACATTTTTGCTGCACTCCGACGGCGATGAAGCCCTCATTAGTCTAATTATCGAAAGGGACGAGGGAGGAATGACCAACACAGAGATCTAGAGGTGATGGAAAAGAGACCTAGGGGCTGAGTGGAGGGAGACTTGGATCTAATTGTCGATGGAAGAGGGAGATCGAGAAAGAAGTAGGTGTGAGTGGAGGCAGACCAGTATGAGTGAGAGGAAGGAGTTCAAATGACATGGGCGGTGGATGAAGGGCATTTGGGTCTGACCTAGGAAGTAGATCTAGGGTTTCAGCAGATGCTTGAGCTTGGAGCTGTTCCGGTGTTTCTGAGCAAGGATAAGAACAGGAGATGTAACTTATGCTAGTTCCTTTGATTACTTTCTATTTTTACTTTTATTTTTTTCTACAGGCAGAGTCTCACAACAAGTTTTTAAACAGGAAGGTATAGATAAATTATTTTTAAAAAATTATTAATTATAATAAATTATTTATTATTTAACATATAATATTATCATGTTAAAAATTTATTTTTTATAGTGAAATTCTTCCGTAATAAATCTATCCTTATAAAAATTGAATATTATATGATAATAGAAAAAATGAACAAAAAATAGAGAACATGAAGACAAATTGATTAGTGGAGGTTATTGTTCTTTTTTTATGCAATTTGTTAATCTTGATATAATTTAAATAATGTTTTGGAAGACTAAAATTGTTAATTTTGGTCTTATTAAATTTAAATCATAATTAGAAAAAGATTTAATTTAATAAGAAAAATTCAATTTTAAATACATAGATTTTTAATATATCCAAATAATGTATTTAAAAATAAATGTATTTAAAATTCATTTTTCTTATTCAATCCAAGCAATGCATTTTAAAATACATGTATTTAAATTATATGTATTTTAATTACAGTCATCAAATTCAAATTCAAGTTCCCAAACCTAACCTTAATGAATTTCACTTCACATTTGAAGTGATTCCTTTCATCTCAGTTCTTACGTTAATGCAACCCAAAACAAATGTTAAAACCAACTTCAAACAAATCCATGAATTGATTAAAAAATATTACAAAAATGTTCAAAATAAAATCAACAAATTGTTCCAATTTTAACACAAAAAAAAAAAAAAAAAAAGGAAACCCTGGCTACTCTGCTGGGGGAGGTGGCTGTTGCTTTGCAGAAAGAGGTGGCTGCTCCACTTCTGGAAGGGCTGGCTGCTCTTCTTTTGAGGGAATTGGATGGACTTCCACTAGAGGAGGTGGCTGGCTCTCTTCGACCTGTATGCCCACAGCCTCTGCTTCGCTTTCCTTAACTGCAACGAACTCGAAGTCAAAGTTGGGAGGAAAAATGGTGTGACCTTCTTCATCATAATCCCATCTCAGCTTAATCTAAGGTCTAAAGTTAGCCGACATACTTTCACCGTCTTCCTCTACTCCTTCCTCTTGTTCGCCAAAAGTGATCTTTGTCACATCCACTTCGGGATATTGAGATTTCACCTTTTTTCTGCAATCAGTGAAGGCAAGGATCGCGGTAGGCAGCTGGTATAGGTTGACAATATTGTCAAATGTGCTGGAGTTGAGAAACTCAGCAATGTGCCCTTTCATCGCATTATGGACCAGCAACTCCACGTTCTTTTTCAGCTCGATGGCAGACTCTTTCATTTCCTTTATTTCTTTCTCTTACGCCTCAATTTTTCTCTTGCAAAATTTTCTCTTTCATTCTTCAAATGAAAGAGTTGTCTTCAACGAATCCCTCTTGTCCTGAAGACTAGTCACTCTCGGAACCACCTCATCCAACTACTTCTGCATCTCCCCCTTCTCTTTCTGCAGTTTATCATA